TTCTAGGATGAGTTTGCTAACTTAATTGTCAGACCTTATATTTCCAAAATCCTTACCACAAGGTTGTAAAAGTATTACCCCACAATACTTTCTACAATGCTATTGTTTTATCTTTTGTATTTAGGTCTGCAGTCCTCCCCAAATTGGTTTTGTATATGGTGTCAGGTAGGGGTGATGTTTCGTATTTTTTCCATAGTGATATCCAGTTGTCTCAGCATCATTTATTGACTAGATTATTCTTTCTTCATTGCTCTGCATTATCTCCTATTGTAAATCAACCCTCTGGATGTGTATATGGTCTGTTTTGGGCTCCTGATCTATCCATTCATCTGTCCTTTAGCCTCTTTCTAAATGACTGTAGCTGTTTGAGAAGTCCTGATAGCAGTATTGTGTGTGAAGAGAATCCAGCATGTATGATGGTTCTATTCCCCACCAGCGATAAATTTCAGGGTCTCAACACCATCAGTAACTTTGCCTGAATCAATAATTTCATGAAGAGTTGCAACCTCTTGGGGATATCACCTGATTTGACAGCCTTCTAGCCCAGAAGCCCTCCAACTTCAGAAAGAGTTGTGATGCCACCTGGTGGGTCCTGAGCAGGCTGTGTGCATTTGAATCTCAATTTACCACCGTGTACAAATTCCACTGTGTGTGGGTGGGTGGCTTCTGGGACTGCTGGGTCTATTTATAAAATCTTCAGACACTGAATAACTTGCATTGTTTTCCTTCAGTCTCACAGAGTGAACTGCTTAGAGCTGACCTCCTCGACCCTCCATTACCAGGTAAGAACTGGTGGCTGAAAGCTACCAAGTGAGATGTGTCAGGGGTAAGAACATCAATAGTGAACATAAAACAACTGAATCAAAGGACTGGGTTGGGTTTGTGCAGTGACCCCAAATTTCTCCCATTCTAATATTGTGCCCCTTCGCAATGGGACTTTGAGGCTCTTCCCATCCAGAGGGGGAGTCTGTCACTCCACCTTTGTGAATCTAGGCATGGCCATGTGACTTGCTTTGACCTATAGAATGTAGCAGAAGTGAGATGTGGGAGTTTGATTGCCATGATGTAAGGAAGCCAGTGTAGCTTCTTGGAGGCTGGGAGGCTCCATGGAGAACTGAGATCACCCAGCCAACAGCCAGCACCCATTGCCCAATATGCCATTGAAGCCATCTTGGACCTTCTAGCCCAGCCCACTCAACTGTGATCCCATAGGTTAGTCTAGTTAAGAGCAACAGAGAAATGCCCAGCCAGCCCACCCATAGAATCATAAAGATGATTGTCCATTCATTCTGTGGTGGGCAGGATAATGGCCCCCAAAGATGTCCACGCCCTAGTCCCCAGAAGCTGTGAATATGTTACATTATATGGCAAAGGGACTTTGAATATGGGATGAAGTTAAGGATATTGAGATGGGGGAATTATCCTGGATTTCCCAGGGAACCCAGTGTCATCACAAGGGTCCTTGTAAGAGGGAGGCAGGAAGGTCAGTCAGAGAAAGAAATGTGACCAGGGAAGCAGAAGTCAAACCAAGGCATGCAGCCACCTTTAGAAACTTGAAAAGGCAGGAAATGATTCTCCCTGGAGCCTCCAGAAGGCACCAGCCCTGCCCACACCTGGGTTTTAGCCCAATGAGACCCATTTCAGACTCCTGACCTCCAAAACAGTGCAATAATAAATCTGTGTTCTTTTAAGCCAAACATTTGTGAAAATTTGTTACAACAGCTGTAGGAAACTAATACACACCCCCAGAAATTTCCCTCCTGTCCCTTCCCAGTCAACCCTGCCTGCTCTTAGAGTGAAGACTAAATCTGTAGGTGGTTTTGCTCTGTGTTTATAGATAACTGAAACTACTCACCAAGCAACTGTTTATATACATAATCATACAGCATCAGAAATTATTATAAGGGAGGTGAGCACAAAGTCACTTCCTTGTTTGTTGTTAGCAAAAGGTGTTCAAAGGTGGTCACCAGGGCCAGTGGCATCAGTTACATGCCTTTAGCCATGAGTAACAGAAAACCTGACTCTGCTTGCTTAATTCTGTAAAGACGTTTATTAGCTCAGAGAACAAACAGCCCCAAGCTAGGCTCAGGATGATCAAGACCGTTTAGCAATGTCATTCCAGACCCAGATCCCTTCCCTTTCCCTTCTCTGCCATCCTGGGGGGCATTCTGCAGAAACCTTTCTGGGAATTCCCCACCACCCAGACTTGTCCTCTCATCTCACTGGCCAAGAATGGTCACATGCCCGGTCAGAACCCAGCAGCTCGCCCATCATTGATGCCATGATAGCTGCTTTGATCTTCAATCTTATTTTCCAACCAATAGTTATTTTAGCTACTGTCGATATGGCTATTATGGTCTGGACTTAAATTTTATGTTGATAGATAAAACAAATGAGAAATTACACAAGTTATAACCAGGATCTTCAGAAAGTTAATGTGGTTCACCAGATGATGAAAGAAAAGGGTAAAATAATTTACCCTGAAAACCTTTTCTGTAAAGGGCCACAGAGTAAATTTTTTGGCTTTGCCAGCCATGTCATCTCTGAGGCAACTGCTCAAATTTGCCCCCGGGAAGCAGGAAAGCAGCTTATACAATATGTAAATGAATGGGAGTAGCTGTGTCAATAAAACTTTCTTTAAATCAACAGGTGGTGGGCCCGGTCAGGTGTAGTTACCGAGGACACCTGTTAAGGAGTATTGTTAGAGCTTAACTGGAAATAACACTATGAATTCGCAATCTGTAAAACTTATCAATTCTATATGATCACTGAAGTAGCCTTTAATTAGTTTTCCACCAAAAATTTATGTGCGATAATTGGAGCAGACTCTCCAATACCCAAAATGCAGTCATCAATACGTTCCCCCACCCCAAAGAATGAGGGCTTTTTAGAGAATAGCTGGTTTTATGCTTCAGGGCAAAGAAGGTACAATAGGGGATGGAATATCTCATCAGCAAGCAGGATGCTTCTCCAAGTTCCGGGGGTTGTAGAAATATACAGAAGCCTAGCTAAAGGTATTCCTTATCAATAGTGATTACAGGGAATTAAAACCACCAGAGTCTGAATTCCATGAATCCATTACTCTCAAAAGGCAAAAATCAGGATGTTCATTCTTTATCGAGTCACTAGTATTATACCCACACCTGATTTTATTCGGATGAACCATTTTTCAGCATCAGCCACATACAAAGACTGATATCCTCTTATTAAATGATACATATTCAGGGTGATCCCAACTATTGGGTTGTCGGAAAAGTCATGACGTATTTTTTCTATGTTTTATGTTGCAAAAATGCGTCATGACTTTCCTGACAACCCAATATATGAAGACTCCACTCTGTAAAACATGAAGCAAAACACACACACACACACACACACACACACACACACAAAGAGGGCCGGCCAAGTGGCGTGTTGGTTAAGAGCTGGCTTGGGACATCAGCTCTGAGCAGCAGGGTCCCGGTTCGGATCCCACATGAGGGCCAGTGACACTGCCCTCTACAGCTAAGATGCTGAACAACAGCTCAACCTGGAGCTGGGCTGCCGTGAGTCACCGGTGACGGTGTAGGCTGCAGCCCCTGATGCAGTGGGCTGCCATAAGCTACCATGAGTGGCTGGCAGCCAGTGTGAGCGGCTGGCAGCCCGTGTGAGCTGTCAAGAGCCACTGTGAGCGGCCGTCCAGAGGCTGGCGACCGATCTGCCTCACTCAGGAAGAGTGCAATGATAATGCCAACATGGGCCAGTGAAGTGACATCCTCCACAACTAGACTGAAGAACAAAAGGACAGCAACTTGTCTGTTCCCCTCCCCCAGTTCCCCAATAAAATCTTAAAAAAAAAAAAGAGAGAGACAAAGAAACACACTAAAGTGTTAACACCAGTTGTTTATGGATAGCAGAATGACACATGATATTCATTTTCTTTCCTGTGTTTCTCTGGCATTTCCAAGTTCCCACCTTTATTTTTCATGTGCATATTGTGCAACGTGGGGCTGGAAAGCATTGAAGGGGGGGGGGGCTGTAGGATCCACAGGGCTGTGTCCTGGACCTGGCCCCAAACCCTGCCCTGTATACTTGTTGATCTTGGGTGCACAGAACATCCCCGTCTCATTCAGCCACAACTTCTGGGGCCTCAGTTTGACCCCTCTGTACAGGGGGGGGCTCCTCCACTAGGCAGGCAGACCACAAGGGCTGAGGGCTGAGGGCTGGGGTCCAGGATCGCAGGTGTGGGGTTTGGACTCTGGGGTCCAGGACTCAGGACTCGAGGTCTGGGGTGGGGTCTGGGTTTGGGATTTGGGACCTGGGTCAGTGATCGGGCTCTGGGGTCCATGGAACTGGGTTCAATGTTTGGGATTGGCATCTAATGTGTGAAGTCTGGAGTCTGGTGTCTGGAATTTGGAATCTGGAGCCTGCTCTCTAAGGCCTGAGGTCTGGGATGTAGGATTTGATGTCTGGGTTATGGGGGGTGGGGTACAGACTGGGATCTGAAGTTTGGGGCACCTGGGTCTGAGGATCTAGGATCTGGGTCTGGTGATCCGGGATCTAAGGTCCAGTGTCTGGAGCCTGGGTCTGAAGTACCGGGTCTGGGATCTGGTATCTGGGGTCTGGGGCCTGGGTCTGTGGATTTAGGATCTGTTGTCCAAGGTTTGGAGGTATCGGACCTAGGGACCAGGATTCGGGATCCAGGGTCTGGAGTCTCTAAGGTTCGGGGTCTGAAGTAGGAGATCTAGCATGTCGGGTCCCAAGTCTGAGGTCTGAGGTCTGCGATGTGGGGCCCGGGGTCTAGGGTCTGCTCCGCGCCCTTGCCCTTGCCCTAGTGCCTTCCATCCTCCCTCCTTCTTTCCTCTCCTACCTCGCAGCCCCTGGTTCCGTCCTCCCCGCTCCCCTCCTCTGTCCCCACTCCAGGTCCTCCAGATCCCCTCCCCTGTCTCCCCCTGCCCTTCCTCTCGCCCCTCCCTCCTCCCTTCTTCCTCCCCTTCCCTCCCTTTGCCAGCCCCGCCCGCTCCGCCAGCCCCGCCCGCCCCGCGGCGCCGCACCGACAAGATGGCGGCGGGTGGGAGCGGCGGCCGTGCGTCATGCCCGCCGGGGGTCAGTGCGGGCGCGGGGGGCGGCCCGGGTCCCAGTGCCAACGCTGCCCCCGCCCCCGGCAATGCGGCTGCGGCCGCCGCCCCGGCCCCCGCCACCCCGGGGACGTCCCCTCCGGGCTCAGGGCCCGGCGCACAGGCCGCGGCGGGAGGGGAGCGGGTGGCCGAGGAGCCCGGGGCAGCGGCGCTGCTGCGCGAGCCGGTGTACAACTGGCAGGCCACCAAGCCCACGGTGCAGGAGCGCTTCGCCTTCCTCTTCAACAACGAGGTGCTGTGCGACGTGCACTTCCTGGTGGGCAAGGGGCTCGGCGCGCAGCGCATCCCGGCGCACAGGTGGGCCGCGCCCGCTCCTGGGCCCCCGGGCTCTCCGGGACGCCATCCCCGGGGCCCGCCATCCCTGAACCCCCTTCCCTGGGATCCTGCCATCCCGGGACCCGCCATCCCCGTTATCTGCAGCCCTCAGACCCTCGAGGACTCCCGGTCACCACCTTCCCCAGGCCCCATCATCCTCAGGCCCTGTGGTCCTGCTGGAGCCCCATCTATCCCGCAGCCCCCATATTACTAGCCATTCCCTGGCCCCCCGTCCCTCCACCCCCATCAGACACCCCTCACCCTGCCACTCCAACCAGAATTTCCAGATCCTGTGACCCCCACCAGTTTTCTCCACCCCTGGGTCCTGCCATCCTGCCCCAGTGACCTCCACTGAGTACCCCATCCTCTCCGTGCTGTGACCACCCACATCCCCACCAGACTTCTGCCTCATAAACCCAGGACTCCCCAGACTCCCAAACCACATAGCTCCCAGCCCCCTGACTCCCCAGCCTCCTGAACCCCCAGCCCACTGACCCTCCTCCAGCCCCTTCACCCTCCTGAATTCCTGACCCCCTTCCCTAATCCCTGACCCTCCCCAGTCCCTTCACCCCCTAGCCCCCAGGCCTCCTCTCTGGAAAAGGGGGCATTGTTGTTCCAGGCCCCATCCCTCTGCCAGTTTCTAGGGTGCAGCCCCAGACTCCTGGGCTGGGTAAGCTGATGTCAGACACCGCCCTGCCCACTCCCAGTCTTTCTGACCCTGCTCCCCATTGCACCCCAGGGATCTCGGTGGAGAAGGCTTGCTGGGGGCTCCACCCTGGGAGGGTACTGGGTGGCTTCTTGTGTCTCTGCTTGGAGTGCCCCCTAACTTGCTGTGAGGGTCCTCCTGCCTCTCTGGCGTGTGGCCTTTAGCCTGTGCCTTTGACAGTCTTTGTGGCTTTTTCTTGGTTATTTATGTATAATAGCGTCTGGCTTCCTGTCCACAGAAGACTCCAGGCCTGTGGTTAGGTCCCAGGACCTCCCCTGGCTCCTCCCTTCCCTGTGTGCAGCCCTCTCTCCTTTGTCCATGTGGGCCATCTTCCTAATCCTGGAGTAGGAGGCTAGTCCGTTTGCCACCTACCAGTCCCTCCTGGACCACTGGCCTCCCTCAGCCCCTCCTGCTCTTAAACGCTGCTCAGTCCAGTCCGGGCTCTCCTGCCCACAGACCCCTGACTGGAATCCTCACTGGGCAGGTGGATACAGCTAGAAGCCCCAACCAGTGGGGGAACATCAGGGTTTCTCTTTGAGGGGAGCAAGGGGGCTGGGGGACCTCCCCAGATGCCAGCTGACCTTGAGATACATAATCATGCTTGAAGGTTCATTGGCCTGTGACAAAGTGTGGACCCCTGGAGAGAAGCAAAAGAGGGGCCTGGCTCTAGTGGGAGGTGGAGGTTAAGTGAGGAAGGATGGGTGTGACATTTAGTGAGAATTTCTGAGAGCAGGAGGGAGACAGGCCCCAGGGTAATGACAGGGCTGACCTGCTCCAGATGGACACCTCTGAGCAAGTGGCACTGAGCAGAGCAGGGGAAGGGGAGGGGAGCACAGGAATGTAAGGCCTGGAGACTAGAGGAGTTGGGCAAGTGGGAACCACAGCAAGGCCAGAGCAGAGGGAGCAAAGGGCCCTATAGGCCACAGTGACCTCGTCTGCTTTGAAGGGTGGAATGGGCCACAGACACCATGGGAGATGATGGGCTTAGTGGAGACAGCAGAATTGGGAAGCAGAGAGTTCAGCTTCTCTGGGGGAGGTACTGCTCTGTGATGTGGTGAGGAGGTGGCTTGGCAGAGGAGAATGGGGGGATGTGGTGGAAGTTCCCTGGACTTTTGGCTTGAGTATCCCAGGGGAGGACAGGCATGGTGGTACATGTTGTATTGGCGAGAAACAATATGACCAGAGAAGTGTGTGATGGGTCTGCAGCGTGCAGGGATCATATTGTTGGGAGTGGGTGGAGTATCCTGGGGGCAATGTGTGGACAAAAGAGTGCTTAGGAATGGCAGCAAGGAGCCACTCCTAAATGGGGTATGGGGTGCAGGCTCTTCTGGGTATGGGGGTGCATGCCTGCACCCCAACGTTCACCATCAGACTGGCCCACCTCTGGACCTGTAACTTTCTTGTGCTTGTAGCTTCATGAATCCCATGTCCCCTGGTGGCACTCTGCCTGGCTCCCCTGTCACACCTTGCAGGTCCCTGTACCCATCAGTTGTCTCCCTGGGTCCTGAGAGCTCCCTGTGTGCTTAATGTCTGGAGGATGTCTGGGGCCAGGGCGATGGCATGTTTCTTGTCCCATTTCCCTGGTATTGATGCCCTACTCTATGGATGCCCCAATAGAAGGTTCGAGTTCCTTTTCATTTTAGCCTTTGGGTTATTATTTCATATGAATTGTGAAAATTTTACCTGCAGTGGTCAGGTGGGTGACTGCCCCAGTGAATTACCCTGGGTTTGCTGTGTCTCAGTTTCCCCACCTGTGAACTAGGACGTACCACTCAGATACCTCCGGTCATGGGGCTGCTGGGAAGATGGACTCCATGACCCACGGCTCCTTTAGAGGACCAGGAGCTTAGATAAAGATAGGGATATAAGCCAATGCAGAGTTAAGTCCCAGAGGCCACGCTGATGGAGAGTGACGGTTGAACACATGTGCTAGTGGTTCGGAAAGACCGTGGTCTGGAGAGTTCCTGGTCATATGTGTGGAAACCCTTGGCTGGACCTTGTTCCCACCCCCTTCTGGGGGGCTGGATTTAAGGACTCCATGTGAAGAGTAGGGTGGAAAGTAGACCCCTTCTCAGCCAGGTGGTCAAGGTCAATCAACCTCAGGGTGATGTGTGTACGTCAGGGACCTCTGACGAGAAGGGCACCTTACCTGGGTGTCCTCTTCCCCAGAATCTATAACCCTGGTGTGTAGTGGGTTGAATGGTGTCCCCGCAAAGATATGTTCCCATCCTAATCCCCAGAACCTATGATTGGCCCTTATTTGGAAAAAGCATCTTTGCAGATGTGATTAAGTTAAGGGTCTCAAGATGAGATCATTCTGGATTATCCGGGTAGGCCCTCAACCCAGTGACAACTGTCCTCATAAGAGACACGCAGAGGGGAGACAGAGAAGACGGCCATGTGACGACGGAGGCAGAGATGGGATGATATCACAAGCTCAGGGAGCCCCCAGCAGCTGGAAGAGGTGGGAAGGACCCTGTCTGGGGCCCTACAGGGAGAGTGTGGCCCTTTGACACCTTGACTTTGGACATCTGGCCTCCAGCATGTAGGAGGATAGATTTCCATTGTTTCAAGCCACCTAGTTTGCCAACACTTCGGATAGCAACCCTAGGAGACCAGTCGGTCCAGTTTAATCACAAGAAAACCCCCAACAAAGACGGACCAGACCTGCCTGACCCCAGCCACGATTCCCTGAGACTGCCCAGTACAGGAAAACTGGAGCAAGGTGGAGAAACTGTCGCAGCCTGAGATGCCTAAGGGACGATGAGATGCCATGTGGGATCCTGGATGGGGTCCTGGGGCAGAAAGAGGACGTTAGGGCTATAACGTGACATGGGAACAAGGCCTGAGGTTGATTTTAAAAAGAGTGAGGCCGAGGCTTATGCTAATTTCAAGATGTGGTCTGGAGCCACCAGCTCCTAGGGCCAGGCTTGGGGTGCCCATGGCTGGGGCTCTGGCCCCTGAACTCGGTGCAAGGTGAAGTGGGGCATGGGACCCCGGAACACAGGTTGGCATTTGTGACAGTGGAAGGGGCTGGCCCTGGCTAAGCTCACATCCCAGCTCTTGCTCTGCTTAACTTTGCAGCCCCTACCCTGTCACCCCACTCTTCTTGTTTCCCTACAGCTTTTTCCTTCTAACTTCCTAACGCCCGGCGTTGATATTACATTGTTGTTGGCTTTGCCTGTCTCCTGTCCTGCACCCCAAATGCCTGGGAGAATGCCCGGCATACAGCAGATAATCAGTAAATACGTGTCGGCCAGTATGCTGGAATCTAATGTGTGTGCCTTTTCTCTCAGGGCTCACTCTGAGCAAACATCAAATGACTTTTTCTTTTTTTAAAGAAATTTTATTGGGGAATAGTGTGTTTTTCCAGGACCCATCAGCTTCAAGTCAAGTAGTTGTCTTCAATCTAGTTGTGGAGGGCGCAGCTCCCTGGCCCATGTGGGAATCAAACTGGCAACATTGGTGTCATGAGCCTGCACTCCAATTACCTGAGCTAACCGGCTGCCCCCAGCGAATGTCTTTATGGCACTTTTGCGGGCGTACAAATCGGGTGGCCCCACACAATTAACTGTCTTCACTCTCATGGGAAATGTAGCCATGCTGAGAGTCTAGAATGTGGAACAGTCTGTGTTTGGGGTCTCTTCGGTGGCGTCGACCTGTTTGTGTGTTTTTAGTCAGATGACAGCTTTTTTTGATGACGGTGGCTCTATGGTGTGTTTTGAGAATTGCTGAGGAAGTTGTTCCCAATTTTATTCCGTGTCAAGACTTTTTAAGCTGGTCTAACACATTGAGTTTCCAGAATCACCCATCTGTCTATGCCTCCACCCAACAGCCATTGAAACATGGTGCAAACAGAAAAACATCTCTTTCCCTGGGGAACTTATATTCTAGCACAGCAGCAGCAAGCATATGTAAAGAGCCACATAGTAAATATTTTCTGTGGGCCACACAGTCTTTGTCCCAACTGCTTAATTCCACCTTGGCAGTACAAAACAATGACATAAATGAATGAGTATGGGCTGTGTTCTTTTTTTTTTTTTTTTAAGATTTTATTGGAGAATTGGGGGACGGGGACAGACAAGTTGCTGTCCTTTTTTGTTCTTCAGTCTAGTGTGGAGGACGTTGCTTCACTGGCCCATGTTGGTATTATCATTGTGCTCTTCCCGGGTGAGGCAGATCAGTCGCTGGCCACTCGGCCGCTCATGGCGGCTCTTGGCAGCTCTTGGCAGCTCATGCCGGCTGCCAGCCACTCACGGTAGCTTATGGCAGCCCATTGTAGCTTCACTGCAGCCTACGCTGTCGACTCACGGCAGCCCAGCTCCAGGTCGAGCTGTTGTTCACCATCTTAGCTGTAGAGGATGCAGCATCACTGGCCCTCATGTGGGAGCCGAACTGGGGCCCTGCTGCTCAGAGCTGGAGTTCCAAGCGAGCTCTTAACCAGCTGAGCTACTCGGCTGGCCCCCCAAGCCAACTCTTAACCAATGTGCCACTCGGCTGTCCCTGGGCTGTGTTCTAATAAAACTTTATTTACAAAAACAAGTGGTGGGCTAGATTGGGTCCCAGGGCCGAGTTTGCTGTCCTGCTCCCTCTAGTGGTTTCTTATGATCTTTAGAATCCATTTGTTAAGCGTTAAAGGAATTGAACGCATCTCTGGGGAATTGATCTTCCCAAAGATGCCTGGTTGAGGAGAACTGGAAATTTAGAATAATGGAGTATATCTGGGAACATGAAATCTCTCTCTGTTTATGTATTCAGGACATTTTGTAGCAACCTTACAAAGCTTTATAATTTTCTTCATTGTATAGTTTTTGCATGTTTATTGCTGAGTTTTTGCTCAGGTATTTGTTTTTCTCTTTTGTGAATAATCTTTTCTCCATTATATTTTTCTAGCTGGGAAGCTATAGATTTGGGGGCATATTTATTTTTATGTGATTTGAACGATTTCTTTCCGAACACTTAGTGTTCATAATTGTTCAGCTTACTCTGTCCCAGCCCCGTGCAGTAGACTTTTCTGTGATGATGAGACTGTTCTAGATCTATGCTCTCTGCTACTAGTCACATGTGACTATGGAGCATTTGATATGTGGCCATCACAACCAAGGACTTGAACCTGTTATTTACTTGAATTTTAATTTAAACGTAAATAGTCCTGTGTGGCCAATAGCAACTGTGTTGGACAGTGCATGCTTGGAATTTTAAATTAGAGAATCTTGATATGGGCAGATTGTTTCTCTTCCTTTCTCATAGTCCTGCCTTATTTTTTTCTGTTCTTACTGCATTCCTGACCCCCAGGGCATTGCTCCTTAAGAGGGGTGAGAGCACTCAGCCTTGGTGCTTTTCACAGTTACATGTGACTGTTGAGATTGGTTTCCTGCAAGTTCTCTTCCACAAGGTACGGAACCTTCTGTCCATCCCTCATTTAGTAAGAATTTTTAGGAAGTGTGGGTGTGGGGATATCAAGAGCTTTTGCTGGATTTGGCATTGTTTGATATGATGACTGTCCTGGTCGAAAGTTTGACGGTTTGACGGTATGAAGGTTGACGGTTGTCAACCATCATAGCCCAGTTTTAGAGCACAACCATCACCACCAAAAGGTTCCCAAAGTCTTGGAGGCTCGGTGTTGTGCATCTCAGGAGCTCGTTTCTTCTTGGTGCTGAAGTAGAAGTTCTTTTTCCTGCTGAACGCCCCTCGTGGATAGACCATGGTTTGTCTGTTCACCAGCGATGGGGATGCAGCTGTCTCCAGTGTTTTACTGTAGGAATAATGCCTCCCTGGGCAGGCGGGCACAGATCCGTGTGGCGGTGTGCTTCCTTTCTCTTGGGGAAATGCCCAGGAGTGGAACAGACGCGTTACAGCTTAAGTCTTACATATGACATGATGAGAAATCATCCCCCAGCCCCCATGGAGCATCGGGCCTCTAGATGAGTTGGACTGCTCCCCCTTCTCTATATCGTGGAGGAATGTGGGTGCGGTGGTGTTATTTCTACCGGCAATGCATGTCAGAACCCACCCCCCAACCCCCGCATCGGGTCACCTGAGGCTGGGCTTCTCTTTGGCAGAAGATTTTAACGTTTAAGTTCATTTTCTTGCCTTGTTACGTATTTGTTTAGATTTTCTGTTTCTTCACCAGTTGCCTTTGGCAGCTTGTATCTTTCTAGGAACAGTCTGTTTCATCTAATTGTCTTAATTTGTCTGCGTGAAGTTGTCTTACAACTTTTTTTTTTTAACTTTATTGGGGAACATTGTGTTTTTCCTAGGAGCCATCTGCTCCAAGTCAAGTTGTTGTCCTTCAGTCTTAGTTGTGGAAGGCGCAGCTCAGCTCCAAGTCCAGTCATTGTTTTCAATCTAGTTGCTGGGGGCGCATCTCACTGGCCCATGTGGGAATCGAACCAGCAACCCTGTTGCTCAGAGCACGCGCTCTAAACAACTGAGCCATCCGACCGCCCCGTCTTACAACTTTTTATCTTCTTTAGGGTCTGCAGTGAAGTTCCCTCTTTCTCTCCTGATTTTGCTAACTGCTGTCTTTTCTCTTTTCTTGGTTGGTCTGGCTAAAGTTTTAGCAACTGATTTTTTTTTTTTTTAAAGAGCAGCAGATTTGGTTATATTGGTTTTCTCTGTTTCCCCATTCCCAATTTTCTTAATTCCTGCTCCCACTTTTATTATTTCCATCTTTCTTTGGGTTTGTTTTGCTGTTTCATTCTCTAGATTCTTGAGGTAGAAGCTAACCTTTTTGACTTTGGATCTTTATTTAATAGATATGTGGTATTTACCCCTGAGCACTGTTAGCTGCATCCCTCACATTTGGATGTGTCTTATCTTCATTTTCTAATGTCCCTGTGTTCCGTCTGTGACCCTTGGGTTACTTGGAAGTGTGTCATCCATTTCCAAGTGTTTGGGGATTTCTTTTCACATTTTGGCCATTGTGGATTGTGCTGCTGTGCACATGCGTGTGCAGGTTTTGTGTGGACGCATGTTTCTGTGAGGCAGACACCTAGGTGTACAATTGCTGGGTCAGATGGCCGCTCATGACTGACCATCTGAGGAACCACCAGCCTTCCATGGCAGCCACGCACCTGATGTTCCCACAGCCACACACGAGGGTTCTGGTTTCTCCATGTCCTCACTAGCTCTCGTCATTGTCCTTATTTTGAATTCTAGCCTTCCTAGTGGGTGAGGTGGTGCCTCACTGTGGTTTTTATTTGCATTTATCATTATGTTTTTGGAGATGGAAGAAGAAGGAGGGGAGAAGACATGATGGGGAAGCCCCAGGCATGGTGCTGGGGGCTCTGGTTGGCTGGAGGCAGGATCAAGCAAGGTGCCAAGGGAGCAGGGTTGGTGGCTGGAATCTGAAGGCCATAAGGGCATCTGGCCAGGGGTGCCAGAGGGGTCGGGTGGAGGAGCCTTGGAGATGGGACATACCTACCTCGAACCCTGCAGTCTTTCCAGGACCTGGGATTTGTCCTCATGTCTGTCACCGAGGGTACATGAGGTCCCTGACTGCCCAGTGTTGGGCAGCTCTGCACAGACACAGGCCAGGCCCACATGAGCGGGCAAAACTACAGAGATTTGTGCTCTCAGTTCTGGGGCCAGAAGTCCAAACTCAAGGTGTGGCAGGGCCGTGCTCCCTCCCGAGGCTCCAGGGGAGGGTCCTTCCTGCCCATCCCCACCTCTGGAGGTTCCAGCACCCCGGGGCTTATGGCCTTGCCATCCCAGTTCCTGCCTCCATCATCACATGGCCTCTCCCTGTGTGTTTCTGTGTCCACATTTCCCTCTTGTTAGGACACCAGTCATTAGATCAGGGCCACCCCACTTCAGTGTGACCTCATCTTAACTAATTACACCTACAAAGACCCTATTTCCAGATGGGGCCCCATTCTGACTTTCAGTGGATGTAAAGTTTAGGGCACACTCCTCACCCCACTACACTTGGTTTCTCACCTGGCCCTCTGTCTCTGGTCTGGCCCTCAGGGTGGGGTCGAGTCCTGGGCCAGGCTATGGACCAGATGAAGGCTTGGAAGGGCCAAGGGACAAGCGTCCCATGACAGGGGAGGAAGTGGGGGCCGGGGAGAGACAAGGCTTCTCCCTGGGGAATGTAGGGGGCAGCCCAGACTGGGGTTTGCTGGGAGTTGTGGGAAGGGCGCCCCAGGCACTGGGCAGCGGCCGGGAGGTGCCGTGTGGGGCTGGCTCTGTCTCACCTGCCGATGTCTGCTGAGTCAGGAGATTTCTGAGTAGGGTGACTGCTCAGAGCTGTGTTTGTCACAGTGGAGATCCCAAAAGGGGTGTGATACAGGGGCCTCGCAGACCCGGGGATGGGTGCTCTGTAGCAGGTAGGCTGCAGAGCTATGGCCCCTGAGTCATTGCTGCCTCCCCAGGGGGAGGACGTCTTGGAATGGGCCTTGGGGACTGAGGATGGACAGCACAGAATGGGTGGCCCTGTCCTGAGTGGGCGCCGTGGAGTCCCTTCACAATCCTACTGGCCCCCATAGACAGGGCCAAAAGGAGGGTTCAAAGCTGGCTGGAGGGAAGGCTTGGGGCTCCTCACAGCTTGTCTTCACTCACTGGGCCTTCCTGCCCCTCGAACTGAAGAAGACACGGGCAGGTGGGCCCAAGTGGGTGAGTCATTCCTGGAAGAACCCACAGGTCTCCTCATGGCCAGTGCCTGCAAACACTCTTCTGTGCTCTTGCTGTTCCCTTGCCCTCGACACCCTTCCCCACAGACTCAGCCTGGCTCAGATGTTCCTGCCAGACCTCCCCTGACCCTTGCTCCCCTCACAGCCCTGTGTTCTCTCTCCTTCCTACCCGCTGTCAGGCTGTCTGTGCCCTTGACCTGTGTCTGCTCCCCTCCAAGAAGATGGGGGCCCCAGTGCCCAAAGCCTGAGCACAGGGCAGGTGTGTGTAGAGCCAGCACATGAGTGAATGAGTGAGTGAGTGAGTGTATGGGTGGATGGATGGATGAACAGAGATGCTCTGGGCATGATGTGGCGGGGAGCAGCTGGCAGAGAAGTTGCTACTGTAACGCCTCCCAGGGTCTCTGGTGGGGGAGTTTTTGTTGGGGACATTCACTTTACACATATCCCTGCCCCTTCCCATAGCACCAGGCTCAGGTGACAAAGACAGGCTGGGCCACGTGGAAGGTAACCAGGTCTTCTCTTCATGCCAGGTTTGTGCTTGCTGTGGGCAGTGCTGTCTTCGACGCCATGTTCAATGGAGGCATGGCCACCACATCCACTGAGATCGAGCTGCCTGACGTGGAGCCAGCTGCCTTCCTGGCGCTGCTCAAGTAAGACCTTCTGGGGCCTCACCACCGAGGGGTAGGATGGATGCCTGATGGTTTAACACATCAGAAAACAGATGGGGCTCAGGGAGAAAATTGCCTCCAGAGCCCTGGCTCCCTGGAAGTTTCTAAAACTTGCTTCCACAGTGAGGGGATCTCTGGAAGCCCCCATCCCGTTTTAATTTTTGTATTTTTAATTGAAATGTAAATCATATACCATGCAATTTAGTCATTTAAAGTGTACAATTCAGTGGTTTATAGTATATTCATAGATGTGTTCAACCACCACCTCTATCTAGTTCCAGAACCTTTCATCACCCCAGAAAGGAGACCCCGCCCCCATTAGCAGTCATCCCCATTCCCCTCCCCAGCTTTCAACAACCACTAATGCCCTTTGTGTGTCTGTGGATGTGCCTGTTCTGGACATTTCACGTAGATGGAATCACACACCGTGTGGCTTTTTATGTCTGGCTTGTCTCACTGAGCGTCATTTTCAAAGTCATCCACCTTGTACGTAACCCCTCATTTTGATCCTTTGTAGTTGACAGAGTTAAAGAAGTAGCATAAAGTAAGGATTTTCTATGCCACCTTTATTTTTTCCTTTTAAGTTTCAGAATTTTTTCTTAAGTACCGTGAACGCCTGGGGAGGGGGGCTGTCACAGTCATAGGAAATGGAGCCAGCTTGGATGAGAGAGGAGAAACAAAGCTTGAGCAGTGACCACAGGCAGTGGGATCACGTGGAAGCTGAGGTCCTGACTGTCCGGCGGGGCGAGCTCTCAAGAACACCCACACCATTCTCCTTGCCCAGCTGGCTCCCAGGAACACTGGCTATAAATTGTCATGGGTAACTCTAAAGATTATCCCAAACAGTGAAAACATCTTTTTAAACGCAGTTTATTTTTTTCCGTCCTGGTGATCAAAATGGCACAGGCTCTCACACACACAAAGTTGATACGGAGAAGCATAAAGAACAAAGTAGGGTAACCCTGTCCTCTCCTCTCAGACATCCAGGAGACCATCTTGCTGGTCCCTCCTGGCTCATGTCCTGTGTGTGTAATGTGTTGCAGCCGCCTTTCCACCCTACTGTGTCCTCACCCCTTTTCTCACCAGTGTCCACAGTGCGTTGCTGGGCATAATTTTGTTCTAGTTGGTTCTGTCTGTGGATGCCCCATAACACTTGACTCCATCTAATGTTGTTGGGTCCTGTGGCTGTCCCCAGTGTCCTCCAGGTCACAACAGCACTCTGAGAAACAAGCTCCTTTATCCATCTCTATGCACCTTTCCTGGGCCCAGGGCCAGATGGTGGATGCTTCTCGGCCAAGGCGGCTGGTGGGCTGTCTCCACTATGGCCACTGTGACTACAGAAGTAGTCAGGACAGTTTGTAAACTATGGGTGGGGCTGTGTGCCAGTAAAACTTTACTTACAAAAACAGTTGATGAAACCACAAGTAGATGTCACTTCACTCTGTTATATATGGCTGTTATAAAAATTTTTTCAAAAAGGGACGATGACAAAAGTTGGCAAGGATGTAGCGAAATTGGGACGCTTGTGCATGGCTGGGGGATGTGAAATGGGGTGGCCGCTGTGGGAAGTGGGATGGTGCTTCCTGAAATATTTAAACACAGAGTCACCATATGACCGAGCGGTCCCACTGCTATGTGTGCACAAATAGCACTGAGAACAGGGACTCGAACAGATACCTGCACACCCGTGTTCCCAGCAGCATGACTCACAGCAGCCAAAAGGTGGACACGGCCCCAGTGTCCATGGGCGGATGCATGATCAACAAGGGTGGTCCATCCACACACTGGAATATTACTCGGCCTTAGAAATAAAGGACTGTGACACCTGCTACAACATGGATGGACCCTGAGGACATTATGCTCAGTGACATAAGCCAGTCACAGAAGAACAAATACTTTGTGATCCCACTCACAGGAGGTCCCCAGAGGAGTCAGGTTCACAGACAGAAAGTAGATGGTGGAGACCAGGGGCTCGGGGAGGGGAGGGGAGTGAATGTTTAATGGGGACAGAGTGTCAGTTTGGGGAGATGGAAACTTCTGGAAATGATGGTGGGAACAGCTGCACAACTGTGAATGTGCTTAATGCCACTGAGCTGTGCACTTAAAAATGGTTAAGATGGTAAAGTTCATGTTATGTGTATTTTACCATAATTAAAAAATATAAAGTGATATCAATTTAAAAAATAAAAAATAGGTGACAGGATGCAGTTTGCCAAACCCTGCCTTTGGTTAAACTTTGTCTCTGTGTTTTGATAAATACTGCTGATGTGCCCTCCTGAGAAGGTTGACCCTATCACCCTTGGTGTGAGGACCTTACCTGTCCCTCTGCATATAAGCGGACTTGTCCCCATTAGAGGATCCCCCCCTGCACTGCTGACATCAGGGTGGGTCACTGTGGGGGGCTGTCCTGAGTGCTGTGAGGTGTCCAGCAGGGTTCCAGGGTCTTCCTGACCCTAGGAACTCTAGCTACTGGACTGTATTTGGGCTCCTGGCACACACTGGAGCCGGATTCAGGAGGGGGTGCTCCGTTCCTGGCCTACTTGGTTCTGCACACCCACCCACCATGCACAAGGGCTCTGATATCTCCATGGTCTCACCGTCTTTTTTTTATGACCCCAACTTCCGACCCATGTTTAGATCCGGGCGATGGCAGTGGTCAGTGTCCATGTGTGTCTGATTCAGGCTGGCACTTCCAGTCCCGTGATTTGCCCAGACCTCATTGAGCATTGCCGTCAGGCCTGCTGTGCAGGTCGGGAGGTGTAGAAATGTCCCATCTCCCCAGCAAACCCATGGTGGCCTTCAGCCCTCGTGCTTCTGCATGGGAAAGGAGAAGGCCTGCAGGGCAAATGTGTTTCCTGTGTTGGAAAGTGGGTAGTTTAGCCTCATTGGTTTTCACTGGTAACAACCTTTGCCAGGCCCTGTCTGCAGATCAGAGGACAACAGGTGCTGGTTTTGGAAGGTTTCTCAGGCTGGCCCATGGGGTGGGGGCTGGTGTGGGTTCCAGCCGGGGGTCTGATGGTCCGAGTGGAGCCACGGCAGGCTGGGTGGCCCCTGCCTCATGGCTGCCGGCCTCCCCCCCAGGTTTCTCTACTCAGATGAGGTTCAGATCGGGCCCGAGACAGTCATGACCACGTTGTACACAGCCAAGAAGTATGCGGTGCCTGCGCTTGAGGCCCACTGTGTGGAGTTCCTGAAGAAGAACCTGCGGGCAGACAACGCATTTATGCTGCTGACACAGGTGCGGGGACGGGCGAGGGCACGAAGGACCCAGCATGGATTCAGGGGACTGGGTGAGGGCGTGGGGGACCGGGAGAGGATGTGGGACACCGGGTGAAGGCTCCATTGGGGGAGGGGGGCAGGTAAAAGCAGGGATGGGGGAGACAAGTGAAGATGCAGGTGTGCAGGAGCTAGGGAGGGAGGGAGGCGGGAGCAGGTGGGTGAGTGGGATTTCAGAGTTTTTGATGCCCTTTAAATTTTGTGCCAGGGGAAGTGCCCCCCACCCCTGTGCCCGCCCTGCCATGGTGGCTCCCCTGAGTTTTCTGGGTGAGTTTCTAGGCCTCCTTGGTAGCTAGTCGCTGTTCATTAAATGGTCTACAGGTTTCTGGTTGGCTCTTAATTCTCTTTTTCAGGGTTCAGGTGTGGGAAGAAAGGTGTTTATTTCTTAGAAAAGGTCCCTTACAGGCTCTGTGTGGTCAGCCGCATTGTGGTGGGGCTGGTGGGGCCATGAGGACTGGGAGGCTGGGAAGATACCAGGGCACAGGTTGGCATGGGGTGGCACCCTCTCGTAGGTGGGTCACAGTTCCCCCCCAGACAGGTTGGATTTGCAAATCCCTTGCTGGGTGCACCTGGGCCTTGGGCCCTTACCAGCCACTTACTGAGTTGCTCTGAAGGGCCAGAGCTGGGACTGTCCTGTGGGGGCTGCCCCCAGCCATTTGCTGAGAGCTGTGGCCATATAGAGTGTCCTAGCCAGGCCCTGGGCATAGTGGATGCCAAGGGGTTGGGGTCTCGCTTCCCCCCAGCTACCTGGGCAGAATGAATGGGAGCCTTCTCCCTTCCCTGGCTTCTACCCTGTGTGTAGGTTCCCAATGTAGCAATCTCAGGGCACAGGCTTCTGTGTCCTGGTCATTCATAGTTCTCTCCCCAGGGGCTCCTGCCAGAGCATAGGGGGATGGCGTGCCTCCCTGGGGGTTGGCCCTGTCTGCTGTCCTTGCCTCCAGTCCCAAACCGCTAGGTGTCCCAGCTTTAGAGGTGCCCGCCGGAGCCCGTCCTTCATTTACCAGACCCCCACCCCAGCCAGTGGTTTTACTGCTAGTCTGTGAACTTGGGGAAAATCTCACCGGTCCGTTGGGCTGACACTCTGAAGTCCCTGAGACTTGGAATTTGTGACAAGTTTTTTTTGTTTTTTTTTAAGATTTTTATTGGGGAATTGGGGGAAGGGAAACAGACAAGTTGCTGTCATTTTGCTCTTCAGTCTAGCTGTGGAGGACATCGCTTCACTGGCCCAAGTTGGCACCATCATTGCGCTCTTCCCGGGTGAGGCAGATCAGTCGCCGGCTTCTGGACGGCCGCTCACAGCGGCTGCTGGCCGCTCACGCTGACTGCTGGCTACACACGGTAGCCCATGGCAACCCACTGCAGCAGGGGTTGCAGCCTACGCCATCGCCGGCGACTCACGGCAGCCCAGCTCCAGGTTGAGCTGTTGTTCAGCATCTTAGCTGTAGAGGGCAGTGTCACTGGCCCTCATATGTGGGATCCGAACCGGGGCCCTCTGGCGTCCCAAGCCAGCTCTTAACCATCGCGCCACTCGGCCGGCCCTGTGACAAGTGTTGAACCAGGGATGCATGTTGGGTCCTGTCTCAGGGCTGGATGATGACGCACTGTCCCTTGCAGGCCCGGCTCTTCGACGAACCACAGCTCGCCAGCCTGTGCCTGGAGAACATTGACAAAAACACAGCCGATGCCATCACCGCAGAAGGCTTCACAGATATTGACCTGGGTAAGGCTGGCAGGGTGCCCGGAGGAGGTCACCTCGTGTCCTGGGGCCCCACCATCCTCATGCAGGGTGGACACTCTCCTCCTGCACAGGCCCAGGTGGTCCGTGCTTTCAGCCTTACTGGTCACAGGGCTTCTGCCAGGTCTACCCCACTCTTCAGTTGTTGGTGACAGGATGGTGGACAGGTGTGGCTGGTGAACCTCATTCGCCAGCATAGGCAGAGGTCGTGCACAGTGTGCCGATAACCCCTGGCTGAGACCGCAGCGTGTCCACATTGACGCAGCTCCCCTGTCCTCCACAGACACACTGGTGGCCGTCCTGGAGCGGGACACACTGGGCATCCGCGAGGTGCGCCTGTTCAATGCTGTTGTCCGCTGGTCCGAAGCCGAATGTCAGCGGCAGCAGCTGCAGGTGATGCCCGAGAACAAGCGGAAGGTCCTGGGCAAGGCACTGGCCCTCATCCGCTTCCCGCTGATGACCATTGAGGAGTTTGCTGCAGGTAATGGTCGGGGGGCCACAGGGCCGCTCGGGAGGAATGTGACCCCCGGTGAGCCTGCGTGTTACTCAGTTGCGTGTCCCACCGGGTCTGGCACTGGCCATGTGTCAGCCTGAGAGCCCCTGCCAGGAACACAAGTACTGATCACACTCGCCGTGTTGACAGGAAGCTTGGACTGTGCACAAAGGTATAAAGATGGAACTACCCACAGATTCCGTCTGTCCATCCTGTGTCTCGTTTCCTTTCCTTTGTCTCCCGTGTCCACATGCATGTTTATGAGTGTACTGGCCACTGAGGGTCCCTGTCTTAGGCTCATGTCCTGGGGGCTGGGCTCTGGTTTCAGTGCCCTTGACGAGCCTGTGAAGGGGTGGGAAGTGGCCGGTGTTGCAGGGACCCTGCTGCAGGGCCTGGGGTCTGGGCTGTGCCTCCCGCCCCATGGGGACACCCATGTCCTGGGGCCTTTTGGGCAGCAGTGGCTGACTTGGAACCCCTTCCTCTGGGGCTGCGCCTCCCCCTCGGCCCTGGAGCCAAATAGGCCTGGAAGGTTCTGGATGGCGCTCTGGGCACACCTGCTGCCCTGTCTGTCCCAGGTTCATGCTTCCCCTGCTCTTGCCTGGGCTCAGGATCACCAGATTTAGCAACAAGAGCAAACAAATAATTGAGTGTAAGTGTTTCCCATGCACCAGCTGGGACAGACTTATCCTACACATGTCCTCTTGATCCGAAAGTCAGATGGGACCAGCTCACCTGTGTTTTCTCTGACGGTCCACAGTGTTACATCAGTGCTGAGGTGACACCTCAGACAATGTCTGCGTTCTGGGGTCATGGGGCCCAGGTCACTCTCTGTGGGGCCATCCTGGGCACTATGGAGTGCTGAGCAGCATCCCTGGCCCCCACCCTCTTCATGCCAGGAGCATGCCAGTTGTGATAATCACAGATGTCCCAGACATGGCCCAGCATCCCCTGGGGGGCTAGGATTCCCTGGGGGAGACCCCTGGGTACAGCACTGGACTGTCCTGTGCTAAGACATCTATAGGAGCCTTGCTAGGCCCTCCCTCCCAGTCTGGCTTTCACCCCCAAAACCATTCTCTTCGAGGTCCCCCAGCCTACCTGGTTGCCCAACCCCCACAAGTGTCTCAGCCCCCTGTGACACAGCTAACCCGGCCCACCTTCTGGAAGCACCAGCCCCTCACACCCCTCTCCCCAGCTGGAAAGCTCCCGGAAGGACACTGTGTATGTCCTTCTAGCCCTGTCCCTGTGTGGTGGGTACCATGGGGCTTTGGCCCTTGGTCACTCTGTTTTAGAGACTTCCCTGGCTTATGTTTCATTTGAAAGTACAGTAGAAGTTTGACACACACACCCCGCCCCCTCCCCCCCTCCCCCTGCATCATGCATCACAGTTGAGGTCTGATGTATTTTTCTTTCTCCATTTTCTATGCAGAGATTAAAAACAACAATGGTCAACATTCTGCATTCAATTTTGTATCTTCCTTATTCACTGAATCCTTACCCACTTCTTGTCCCCTGCTGTGAGGGCCTCTGTTGATGTGTCATGCTGTGGTGGCCATGAGTGATGCTGTGGCCCTCTGTGGAAATGGGTTCGCAGTTGGTGAATGAGTGGTTCTTGTGAAGTGTGAGGCCTGTGTCCTGTGTTCTGTCCCCCGGGGGAGTGTGTAAGCATCCTAGGCTCCTACTTCCACCCGTGGCCAGCAACCTCCAGCCCCGCTGGTCCCCGTGTGTGGCCTCCACTATTGCTGTCACATCTCTTCATCTGGGTCCCCTTCACCAGCTCCCGGCCTGTCTCAGCCTATCTCAGGCAGTTCCGCTCTTCCCCCAGCTGTGTCAGTGCTACCTGGCCAAGAGCCCCCAGGCTGCTTCTAGCTGGGAGTCACCCCATGGCCGCTGACCGTCACGTGCTCTGTCAACTAGGGGTAGACCTGAGAGGTGGTCCCCAGTGCAGGCCAGGAGACCTGGGACCATGATGGAGTATTTTGCCCAATGAGCCAGCGAATCAGGGTGTCAGCCCCTTGTCTCTGTGGGACTCCTCCCCAAACGATGGGGCAGAAGGGCTGTCCCACCTCAGGGCTGCCTGGATCCCTAGCGTTTTGCAGAAAATCCGTTTTCATCTCTGTGAGATGCTGCGAACTCGAGATGCCCATCTTCTGTGCTGGATGTTCACCCCACCCTTCCCTACCCCGCCCCCTCCTCAGCCTCAGGCCAGACCACACCCCAACCCGACCCACCCACCCTGTGCCCGCAGGGCCCGCACAGTCGGGCATCCTCGTGGACCGCGAGGTGGTCAGCCTCTTCCTGCACTTCACCGTAAACCCTAAGCCTCGAGTGGACTTCATTGACCGGCCGCGCTGCTGCCTCCGCGGCAAGGAGTGCAGTATCAACCGCTTCCAGCAGGTGGAGAGCCGCTGGGGCTATAGCGGCACGAGCGACCGCATCAGGTGGGCACTGGGACAGGCCGGGCGGGCACCAGGGAGTGGAGAGCTGGGAGACGGGGGCGCTGGGTCGTGGGGAGTGAGGCACAGGCCTGGAAGGGGGTTTCCTGCGGCTGAGTAGGCCCCACCCTGGGAGGTCTCCAGACCCCAGGACAGGGGAGGGTGGAAGCCCATGGGGCTTCCTCGCCTATGTTCTCTCGGCTGGTTGCGGTCTCTCGGAATTCAGCACTTTGTTCCTGTCCATAAGGTTCTCCGTCAACAAACGCATCTTCGTGGTTGGCTTCGGGCTCTACGGCTCCATCCACGGGCCCACAGATTACCAAGTGAACATCCAGGTACTCTCCCACCTTCGTTCTGCCTCCAGTCCAGCCCCACCCCATCCATTTCAGGCCCCACCCTCAGACTCAGTCTGGTCCCACCCAAGCCCCGCCCCACCCGCCGAGGGTTCCCCTCAGATCGCCTTCTAGGATCTGCTCCGTATCACACCCCATAGTGGAGGGAATGTTCTGGAGTCCATGGGGACTATGCCTCCCGCCCCATGGGCCTCTTTGGGAGTCACAGGCTAGACCATCCATTGCCGGCCCCGGGGTGGGGCTCAGCCCTGGATCAGGCCTTGCTGGGGCCCCGTGGATGGAGGCAGGGGGCCTGGAGGCCCTGGGTGAGCGGGCCTGGCTGCTGCCCCGCAGATCATCCACACAGACAGCAACACAGTCCTAGGCCAAAACGACACGGGCTTCAGCTGCGATGGCTCTGCCAGCACCTTCCGGGTCATGTTCAAGGAGCCGGTGGAGGTGTTGCCCAATGTCAACTACACGGCCTGCGCCACGCTCAAGGTGTGCCTGATCCCAACCCTGATCCTGAAGTAAACTGATCCCTAAACCATACCCAGAACCCCAGCTCTATTCAATGAACCCTACCCAGGACCCCAACCCTGACATCTGACCCCAACTGATCGCTGAACCCTATCCAGGACCTCAACTCTATTCAATGAAAACTACTCAGAACCCTGACTCTGACCCCTGAACCATACCCAGGACCTCACCTCTATCCCCAACTCTGACTCTGTTCTCTACCCCAGACCCCAGCTGTGATCCCTGAACCCAACCCAGGAAGCTGCCTTACTCTGATCCCTCCCCAGGACCCGGACTTGAGCCCCGACCCACATGCTCTCACTTACCTGCAATGGTGTGGGGCAGGGAGGAATGATCACCTGTTGTGGGTGTGGAGGGTCTGCTCCCTGAGGTTCCCCACAGCAGACACCTTTGGGTGGGGCTCTGCTGCCTTCCACCCAGTTGGGGTCCCAGTCCTGGGGTGTCCTGATCACATTGTGGCCCTATCCCCACAGGGCCCGGACTCCCACTATGGCACCAAAGGCCTGCGCAAGGTGACCCACGAGTCACCCACAACAGGGGCCAAGACATGCTTCACCTTCTGCTATGCAGCAGGGAACAACAATGGGACGTCCGTGGAGGATGGCCAGATCCCTGAGGTGATCTTCTACACCTAGGTGCCCAGGCCCCAGCGTGGCCGTGAGGACGGTGGCCCAGACACCTGAGACAAGTAGGCTGCCCCACATCTCACGCCAGCCCGCCGGGCCCCAGGCAGTGTCCACTCCGACCACATTCCCAGGCATCTGCGCCAGGGCGAGCATGGCTGCCTGTTCAGAGGAGCTGGGAGGTGGCTGGGTGGGTGGGGCTGTATGACAATCCCTCAGGACTGGGGGCAGGGCTGGCCTGACCCTGCCTGAGCTGAGGTCAGCCAGGTCCCTGGGCCGCCTGACCAGCTGTCTGACAGTGGGATTGTGTGGACTGTCGTCTCGTTTGTGTAACTGCACATGGCAATGCATCTCGGCTTTCCATTTCTCTGGTAGGAGAGGGTGTGGGGGCACCCCTAGTACATCGGTTGGGGTCTTGTGTTCCTTTTATTCTGGTCTATTCACTGGGGACGCTCAGGCCACCCTGATTCTGGTCCCAGGATGCAGGCCTGAGCCTCATGTGGTAGGACTAATGGGGGACTTGCACCCCCTCGAGGTCCTGCAGGCTGGCTCCCCCCAGGTCCTGCCCAGCCTCTCCGGACAGGACCTTCCTGGCCCACAGCTGAGGGCACAGGCCTCAGCCCATCTGCCTGGGAGGGGTGATGCTGCGGGGCAGCCACGGTGGCCACGTCCCCGCTGGCCCATGGGGTTTAGAGGGCACTGCCCACCTGTACATACTATACCCCACCCGCCCCCGAGTGAGCATTCTGCCCAGAGGTGCTGGAGGGTGCAGCCCCTCCCCTGATCCCCTGGTCCTTCCCATGTGTTTCTACCCCAGTGATTTGTTTTGGAACCTGTGTCCTCCCCGAAGCTATGAAAGGTGTACCCTCCTCACATCACACCCCCAAACGATTTTTTTTAAATAAAGGAAAACATACCTACCCTGACCTTTGTGCTTCTTCCCGTCAGAGCCGGCAGGACCCTGGCAGCACTGGGACCTGGCCCTGTCCTCTCTACGGCTGTTTCCGCCACTGTAAGAGGGGAGCCTGGGACCCCTGCCTGCATCTGGAATTGCTGTCTCCCAACCCAGGCTCCCATCTGGAGGCATCCACAGCGCATGGGGGGCTGGGGACGCGCCCTGCCCCTGCAGTGAAGCAGTGGAGGGCGCTGGGTGGGTGGGCAGCATGGCCACGGACACCCGCAGGGAAGGCCACACTGTGGGGTTGTGCCCAGGCAGGGTCTCTTGGAGCCTTATAGCACATTCCGGAGTGTCAGGAGGGACCCCGCTGCAACGAGCTGTGCAGGGACCTTTTGGGCTCTGCCCTCTGGACCTACGCCAGCAGCTGGTGTGCGCAGGCACCCAGAAGTGCTCAGCTTGGTCCCCAGGCTGCACCTATGCAGGGGTGGGTAACCTGACCTGGGTCCCTGCTGGTCACTGCTAGTTGTCATGACAATGTCCAGCATCCAGTTAAAAATTACAAAGCATGCTGAGAAATAGAACTACTAAGCAAGTGAAACAATAGAAAACAAACACCCACACATATTTCAGAAATTGGGAATTTATATATTCAAGACAGTGGAGGAAATGAAGAACAGAATAGATGCATTAATGGAGCATTTCAAGAGTTGGAATACATCTGTTTGACATCCTACCACTGAAAAATACAGTGTCTGTGATGAGGAACTCAGTGGTTAGGAGCACCAGAAGACAGGATTAGTGCACTAGGAAACAGGGCAATGAAAAATACCCAAGGTCGAGCACAAGAAGAAAGAATGGAAAACACAGCAAAGCACAGGAAATGGGGGCACGAAGGTCATGGCACCTGTCAGTGGGTCCCAGAGGAGGGTGGGAGAGTGGGGCCCAGGCTGTACATGAAGAGAGATGGTAGCTAAGAACATTCCAGAATCAAAACATTAATCCAAGTGTTTGCAAATCTCAATGACCCAAAGTGGGATTATAAACAAAAAACAGAAGACATATTCAAACTGCTGAAACCCCAAGGAAAATAATCTTAAAAGCAGCCAGAGAAAGTACAGTTGTTTCCCTTATCTGTGGGGGACAGGTCCCAAGCTCCCCTATGGATGTCTGAAATCTCAGCTAGTACCAAACCCTATATATACTGTATTTTTTTCCTAAACATACAAACCTATGATGAAGTTTAATCATAAATTAGGCACAGAGATTAATAAGACAGAACAATTATAACAATACACTATAGTAAAAGTGATGTGAATGTGGCACTATTAAGTAAAGTAAGGGCGATGTCAACATAAGCCATGCGATACTGCGGCAGCAAGGCGGCTACTGAGTGACTAAGCATGGAGACACGGGACAAAGGGGTGACTCACGTCCAGGGCAGGCGGAGAAGGACAGCAAGATTTCATCACAATATTCAGAAGGGCGTGCAATTTCAAACATGAATTATTTCTGGAATTTTCCATTTAGTATTTTTGAACCACAGGTAGCTGAAACCATGGATAAGGGGGGCTACTGTACTACCAAACTAGAATCCTCTGTCCTTCAAAAGTGAAAGTAAAGGGGCCGTCCGAGTGGCTCAGTTGGTAAGAGTGCAAGCTCTGAACAACAGGGCTGCTAGTTCGATTCCCACATGTGCCAGTGATGCTGCGCCCTCTACAGCTAAGATTGTGAACAATAGCTCAACCTGGAGCTGGGCTGCTGTGAGTGGCAGGTGACGGCATAGGCTGCAGTGGGCTGCCATGAACTACTGTGAGTGGCTGGCAGCCAGCATGAGCAGCGGGCAGCTGGTGTGAGCTGCCATGAGCCACCATGAGCGGCCGTCCAATGGCCAGGGAGTGACAGACTTAGCCGGGAAGAGTGCAATGATCATAATACCAATATGGGCCAGTGGAGTGGTGTCCTCTACAACTAGACTAAAGAACAAAAAGACAACAGCTTGGCTATTCCCCTTCCCCAATTCCCCAGCACTGGTCCCTTGCCCTAATTCCCCAATAAAATCTTTTAAAAAAAACACCAAAAAAGAAAAGACGATAGAGTCAAAAGAAAAGGAACAAAAAGACATTAGACAAACTCAACTGTTATCAGTAATCCGTTAATTGTAAGCAGATTTAAACACTCGAAGGATAAAGATTATCAGACTGGATACAAAAACAAAATCAAACTATTTGCTAATGACAAGTCTCACTTTAGTTATAAAAATGATAAAACAACCAAGTTACCCTGTACAAACATTAACCAAAAGAAAGTCGCTGTGCCTGTTATCAGAAGAAGTAGACTTTAAGGCAGTAAATGTTAGTAAAAGTTAAGGACATTTCACAATGACAAAAGGGGCAATTTGGTCCGGCCGAGTGGCGTGTTGGTTAAAAGCTGGCTTGGGACGCCAGCTCTGAGCAGCAGGGCCCCGGTTCGGATCCCACATTAAGGGCCAGTGACACTGCCCTCTACAGCTAAGATGGTGAACAACAGCTTGACCTGGAGCTGGGCTGCTGTGAGTCGCTGGCGACGGCGTAGGTTGCAGCCCCTGCTGCAGTAGGCTGCCATAAGCTACCGTGTGTGGTCGGCAGCCAGCGGCCGGCAGCCAGTGTGAGCTGCCAAGATTCGCTGTGAGCAGCCGTCCAGAGGCGGGCGACCGATCTGCCTCACCCGGGAAGAGCACAATGATCATACCAACATGGGCCAGTGAAGCATTCTCCTCCACAACTAGACTGAAGAACAAAAGGACAGCAATGTCTGTTCCCCTTCCCTGATTTCCCAGCGCTGTTCCCCTCACCCAATTCCCCAATAAAATCTTAAAAAAAAAAAAGTAGTGGGTAATTCGACAAGAGGATGTAATAGCCATCAATATTTATGCACCACAGCACAGGTTCAAAATATTTTAATCAAGAGATAACAGAACAAAAATGAGTGCTCAGCAAATCTGTAATCATAGTTCGAGATTGACACCCATCTCTAAGTGACAGAACAAGCAGACAAAAGAAATCAGGACGTGTCTGCGATTTGAACATGAACAACAGATCTGACCTAATCGACACACACAGGACACTACACCCAACAATGACACATGTTGCTTTCAAGCGCACATCAAACAATGGTCCAAACAGGCTATGTTCTGTATCATAGTGCAATTCTAAACAAATGTAATTTATCTTCTGCAACTACCGGTATGTTCTGACTACAGTGGAACCAAACTGGAAATCAACCACAGGAAGACAACAAAAAACCCCAAATGCCTGGTAATCAAGAAACACTTTTACATAAACAGGGTAAAAAAGAAACTGGAATTTAGGAAATACTTGGAACTGAGTGATACTGCAATTGTAATTCACCAAAATTTGAGGATCCTGCTACAGCGGAATTGAGGGGAAATTTATACTTTATGCATAGATTGGAAAAGAAGAAAGGTTTAAAACTTTAAGACAACACAAGACCAGTATCAGGAATGCAAAAGGGACACCACTAAAGGTCCTACAGACATCGAAGAGATAGTAAGAGGGGTTGGATTTCTGGTTAGGAGTAGACTGTCAGGGCAGACCATGACTTCAGCTGGCTAAAAATAAACACTAGAGAAAGGGCGCATCCACTCCAGAAATCATATAGGTGCAGCCACTATGGAAAAGTGTGGAAGTTCCTAAAAAAAATTTAAACTAGAACTACCATACGACTCAGCAATTGCACTTCTGGGTATATCTCTAAGGAAATGAAATCAGGATCTCAAATATCTGTGCCCCCACGTTCAATGCCGCACAATTAACAACAGATGGGACACAGAAACCACCTCAGTGTCCTAGATGGAAAAGGACACAAAAGGTGATACACACATTTTACCTATATACATATATATGTCATACATGTATATGTGTAAACAGAATGATTCAGCCTTAAAGGAGGAGGTCTGGCCATTTGTGACAACCTGGATGACCCTGTAGGACATTATGCTGAGTGGGGTATGCACAATCTCACAGGAGGAGTCTAAAACTAAAGTTGAGCTCATAGAACCAGAGAAGAGAATGGGGAGGTGTTGGCCAAAGGGCACACACTTCATTGTAAGTCCTGGGGATCTCACGTACAGCGTGCTGACTATATTCACAAGACTGTGCTGTGTCCCTGAAAGGCGCTAAGAGAGTAGATCTTTGTTCTCACCACACACACACAAAGGTAACTGTGTGAGGCACTGGAGGTGTTAGTTACCCCATGGTGGCGACCATTTCACAATGTATACAAATATTAGATCATCACCTTGCATACCCTAAATTTAAAAATCACATATAATTGGGGCCGGCCGAGTGGCGTGATGGTTAAGAGCTGGCTTGGGACACCAGAGGCCCTGGTTCGGATCCCACATATGAGGGCCTGTGACACTGCCCTCCACAGCTAAGATGCTGAACAGCAGCTCAACCTGGAGCTGGGCTGCTTTGAGTCGCCGGCGACGGCATAGGCTGCAGCCCCTGTGGCAGTGGGTTGCCATGGGCTACTGTGTGTAGCCAGCAGCCAGCGTGAGTGGCCAGCAGCCGCAGTGAGCGGCCATCCAGAAGCCGGCGACTGATGTGCCTCGCCTGGGAAGAGCGCAATGATGGTGCCAACTTGGGCCAGTGAAGCAACATCCTCCACAACTAGACTGAAGAACAAAACGACAGCAACTTATCTGTTCCCCTTTCCCCAATTCCCCAGCACTGTTCCCATCCCCCCAATTCCCCAATAAAAATCTTAAAAAAAAAAAAGATCACATATAATTGTGAATACTTCAAAGCGATGGGGTGCTAAGAAATCCAGAGGGGCTGAATTCCAGGGAGAAAAGAGCCCCGTCAGTGAGTCCTGGCAGCGTCGGAGCTGGGTGTGCTGGGGGAAGGGCATTCTCTGGGGAGAAGCTGCTGGGAGGCTGGTGCCGTGTGGGCCAGTAGAACAGGCCAGGAGCTTGCAAAGCTCGGCAGACTCCCCCCATGGGACTCTACTTGGTGCTTGGGTGGTGAGTTGGGGGTAGGGTGAAAGGTGGAGTGAAATCTCCTGCAGCCTTTCCATGCACAGAAATCAAAGTCCTGCTAGACTGTGGCACTGGCAAAAAAACCAGACAGGTCAAGACACAAACTTCAAGGCATCTGAACAAGGGGTGAATGAAGTGAGAGCCCAGCCCACTTGACCATGCTTCCTGGTAAAGGACAGCGTGCCTGGGGAGAAATGCATCTAGCTGATCATCCTTTCACTCACACAGTGTTTGGGATGCAATAAAAATAATGAGACATCGAGAAGGAAAACGTTCCCCATAAACAAGAGGGGAAACAGCCCATAGAGGCAGACCTGCAGCAGACCCAAATGTTGAAATTAGATGTCAAGGATAATGTCACTGTTAAAAATCTGTGAGAGAATACAGAGGAAAATGGGGTGGAACAATGGTGGATTTCAACCAAGAAACAGGAACTCTACAAAGAGAGAAAACAGAAACTGTAGAACTAAAAATATCTGAAAAGAATTTACTGGATAGCTTAAGGGCAGACAAAACACACAAAAGAGGATTGGTACAGATGTGCCTTATGATGGGGCTATGTCCCGATAAACTGAAAATACCGTAAGCGGAAAATACCATTAAGTGGAAAATGCATTTGATATACCGTATTTGCCGGCGTATAAGACGATTTTTTGGCCCTGAAAAATATGCCTCCAAGTGGGGGGTCGTCTTATACGCCAGGTACACT